TCGACTCATCCTCTCCCCGAGGCAGACCTACATGGAACTGAGAGGGTTGCTTCGTGAGCATGAAGTCAAAACAAGGAGAAACTGATGAATCAAATGTCTAGTGAATGTCCTTTCACTTTTGTGACTGTAGTGACAGGAAGTACTCAAAATCAAATGCCCAAATCTCCTATGTTTATTTCACATGAGAAGTGATGTTGCCACTGGGACCAGGAATCAAAGACTGACAGTAAGGTTTCCTTTTCCCCTGGAAATAGGCACTATCAATGTTTGTCTCTGTGTTTCTTCTTTTCTTATCCCAAGGGCTGGTCCAAAAGAGTGTTCCTGGTTTTTAATGAGATTTTCACCTGTTTTGGAAGAAAAAAATTCTCCCTGAATTAGTGGACTTCCAGGGAGCAATTCCCTTTGTTCTGAGAATTATTAGTTTTTGGTAGTAAAACATCTTTCCTTTTATGCCATGATGGTGGCAGCAGACTGGTAGGTCTTTTTCATGCCAGGCTTTGGTAAATTGAAAAGTTGGCAGCACTTTATCAGGTCCTCCTGTTTTTTTTTTAACTGAGTCATAAAAGCTAAAGGCCTGGGACTACTGTTCTGTCCTCTCACAGATGAATGTTTTTTGTTTTGTCTTTTTGATTGACACATTCTTAAGATATGGTAATGACCTCAAGCTGGTAATACTGAAATTTACTGAGCCTTCAAGCTATCCTTTGGGTGATTCATTTTTAATTCATTTTTATGGCTAAATTCTTAGAGGTTTTATTTTATCTCATTTACAAGTTATCAGGGCATATCTTTATAGTCTTCCAGTATTTAGAACATCCTGTAAATTCACTCTCAAAGAGCACTAGAAGCATGTCTTATGACAATAATAATAACATCTACCATTTCCTGAGCACGTACTATATGCCAGGCACTGTAAGTTTTTTTGTGTGGATTAATTCAGGTAGTTCTTTCAGCAACCCTATGAAGTATTTACCATTATTATTTGCATTTTAAGATGAGATGATTAGGGCAGTAAGAGTTTATTCTTCTGTCCAAGATCATATAGCTAGTGACTAGACCTAGAACTAAGAACAGGCATCTGATCCCAAAGTGTATTTTCACATTATGTCTCTCAAAAAATCAGGGGCTGCCTTCTCACTGGGACTTTAAACCCTGTTTCCTGTAAGACAGTAAAACAGAGGAGGCCTAGTAGGGCTTTGTTTAGTATATTTTTAAATCTTTGATACTTTAAAAATATTCAGTGCTAAACCTAATTCACCTTTAACATAGAAATACATAAACAACTTGCATTTTCTAGAACAGAAAAATGACAATTCTTCTCAGTAACTCCCTCTGTCCTTTCTTACTCTTCTTTTGTGAACATTTTGTCCCTAAAGTAACTTCTGACTGCAGCTTTATCAAGAACAGTATTTCTTCAGAAAGAAGTTTTTCCTTGGGCTGAACTAGTTTTTTTCTTTTGTTTTGTTTTCTTTCTTGTTTTAACCTGCTCTGTCATTGTGACTGAGAAAAGACTAGCCCTTGTCTCTCTCTTCCCATTTCTGGGACATGGCCTTGGATTCTGTTCAAGGAGGGTCTTATCTCTGGTTTGTGTGTCTTTCTGCCATGCTGAATCCTCTAAAACCTCCTTGGCCTTCCTCCACTGACCTCTCTTGAGTGTACCCTTCCTAGAGGGTGTCTTTCGAGAGGTCTCTGTCATCTGCCAGTTTTCTACATACTGTTAGTCAGTCTCAGCTTTAGTGCTTTGGATCGCCCAGTCACATTCTGTAATGTTAGGTGTATCAAGGGGCTTGAGAAAGAAACCCATAATTCCTTAAGAAAGAAAATCAAACCAAAACTCACTTACATTGAAGTATCCCTCTAATGGGTCCTGTGTTACCTCATGTTTCAGGGGTCTCCAAGACCACCTCTAGGTTTAGGGATTGACTAGAAAGACAGGACTCAGCATACGGCCATACTCAAGCTGTGATTCATTTCAGCAGAAAGATACAAAGCACAATCTGCAAAGGTAAAAGGCACATGGGGCCAAGTCCAGAGAAAACCAAGCACAAGCTCCTGAGAATCCTCAGCTGGTGGAGTCACACAGGACATGCTTAATTTCCCAGCATTTTACACATGTGAAATGTTACCTGCCAGGGAGGCTCATTAGAGTCTCTGTGCCCAAAGGTTTTATTGGGAGCTGGGGGCCAGTCACAAGGGCGTTCCCTGCCTAACACAAGCATGTGTTCAGCATAAACCACATTGTTGATATGAACAGTTTAGGTATAATGAGCCATTCTTATTAGTTAGAGTGATGGGAAGCTTTCCCAAATTCAAGTTTCCAGACACCAGTCACAGACCAAGCTTGTAAGGGGGCCTTTGAAAGGATAGCACTCAGTCTGCTATGTTGACTTTTTTAAATAACTGAGGGCACACAAATGAAGGAGATCTGGTAGAACAGGTTTATGGCAAAGTCCTTGAGGGAGAGTAAAGAGTCTGAGGCTGGAGCTTCCATATGTAATTATCAAGTCCAAAGGTCTGTACTGGACAATGAGTGAGAAAGGAAACCAGAAATGGGAAATCAACCAGGAACCTGGCTGAAGTAAAGCCCACTGAGGCCTTTGATCAGAGGTGATTGATCCTGGGTACCCCTCCTGGTGCATAGCTGGATCAAATGCTTGAAGGATCAAATAGAGCCAAGACTGGCAAATGCTCTCCAGCTGCCCCCACAGCATGGCAAGGATATCTCAGAGAAGAAAGGTGCTCAGTAGCCACACATGGCCAGTAGCTACCATGGCTACCATATTGGACAGCTACCCCTTGGCATTCGTTGGCAGTAGAGACAGATGTCTCCAATGTCATTGTCCCAAGAAAATGGCAGAGCAAGTGCCCTGATGTACACTCAGTAGTTTCAAAAAGATTAATGCCAGATGAGCTTGATTACTAGGGCAGAAAAGCAGTTCCTCACCATGCAGTCCACCTTTAACCCCTAAAGACGTACGTCAAAAAGACCTAGCACTCTTGGTAAGTTCAGAATGAAGCACTGAACAGTTATAGGTCCTTAGAAATTAAGGCTAAGGCTAATGGGGAGGGTATAACTCAAGTGGCAGAGCACATGCTTAGCATGCGTGAGGTTCTGGGTTCAATCCCCAGTGCTTCCTGTAAGAATAAATAAATAAACCTAACTAACTCCCCCCACTGAAAAGAAATTAAGGCCATGGCTTAACTCTTCCAATGGTAAATTTTAGGTTTTAATGTGCTTTAAAACCAAGAAGTCAGAAAGCTCCCCTATCCCAGATCATCCATTCAAAGACCTCTGCAGTCCTGTGACCTCAGATGGATTGGCAAACCCCATCGGGTGCCACCAAAAGAAGATTCTTACATCTGTCGATGCTCAGCAGAACTCTGGGGACACCCTGACAGTTAGTACTGTGAACTAGGGATAAGGAAGGCCTCCTGTGCGACTACAGCCAGTTACATGTCCCAGCAGACATTAGCTTGGATCCAGGCCTTACTGCTGTGCCAGGATGCAAACTGAGAGGGCCGCTGGGGCCCTTTCAGGAGGACTAATTTGACTCATTAGGGACTCTAATAGTCCCACATGCAACATAACTTCTTTCATTAGCCAGACAAACTCAAAGGATACTCTTGGCCAAAAGATAAGTCAGTGATTCCCCAAGGAGCTATTATTCCTTTTCCTGCCTTCTAAGCCTGCTAGTCATGCAATTTAATCATAAACCTTCCTTTTTCTCTGTGCCCATCTCAGGGTGGCAGGGCTACTGGTGAAGATAATTTATATATCACCTCTGCCTGCTCATGTAACACTGGACACAACCATGCACCTGCAAGATGCCCCCACAATCATGCACCTGCACAAAGTGGTGGAACAGCACAGACCACCAAGTATGTTCCTTCCTTACACAGCTGTCAGGGGACCACACTCCTAACCCTTCCATAGGCATTTCACATCCAGGTCCAAGTCTACTTCTCATCACTTCTCAACTCATGGCCAAGAATCCACAAAGCAAATACTAGATATTTCAGATTTAGGCCATCTTGTTAATAGAGCAGTTCCCCTTAATAGAGCAACCTTCACATTATGAAATTTTTCTGACTCCACTCAACCAGTATTTAAAATACCCACTACAATTACCGGTTTCAGTCCAAGTAATTCTCCATTCCAGCAACTTCAATCACCACTCCAGCTACCTACCTAGAAATCTTCCATGCAGTTCAGGTGAAACTTCAGGCTTTTTGAGACCCACACGATTGGACTCTGAAGCCTGAAATATGGCCAAACGATAACTGTTTTGTAGGTGGCACACATTAAATTTTCAGCTTTACTTGCACTTTGCAGTCCTTCAGGACTCTCATCTTTTGTTAGGCATACTATGAAAAACAGATTAGCCAGAATGTTTAAAGTGTCTGCTCCTTCCCTTGAGAATACCAATATTTACTCTAAATTGGTTTGGATCTGGAAGAGACAGGATGTCCACAGTAATTTTAACTTGATCCTGTTATTAGCAAGGAAATATTCTTTTATTTGTCAGGTGTTTTGTGGGTTTCTTTCTGTAACCTTTACATTGTTTATTTGCAGCCAGTCATTTGTAAGGGAAAGTTAAACCTAATGAATTTCACTTTGGAGTTTATAATTATTGTACATGCGTTATGACCATCATTATTCTATATTCTCTCCAAGTTTGAAATTCTTGAAAGATACCATTCTATTCCTCCAATAGGATAATATAATAAATGACCTGTTCTGTATCAAATGGGACAGCTTCCTATAAATTATATCTTTTCAAAGGACCTATCATGATCATTATTGCCAGGTTTTTTTGCTGCAGAAGGCAAATTAATTAATTTTCTTTGACAATAATTTTATGAATGAGGATAATTTTGTGAAGGCAATAGTAAAAAGGCTTCTGTAACAGCACTGAGGAAGATTAGTGTGGGAGTAATTGGTCATTGTTGTTTTCCTGCAAGGCACTCATTTCCATTTCTCTCTCTCCCCTTCCTAACAGCATCCTAAATTCAGGTACCAATATGACTCTTTTCATGTACGTCAGGGGAAACCGTCACACCCAGCTCCAAAGAAAGGCTGTTTTGAATTAGGAATAATACCATGTCCCTTGATACATTACTGATGCTGAAACTCAGAGCTAAGCTGATCTGCACATGACATTCCTTTGGCCCCAGGGATTGTTCAGGAAGAACCTATTAAACCTGTTTGAGCTGATAAGAAATGAGAAGAGACATGAAAAAACTCCTGAGAAAGAGTTTGCCTTGTTCTTACAAGAGAATCACAGGAAGAAATTCTCTTTCTCTGGGCATTGAGGATGGCAGATGTGAAGGGAGCATTTTGCCATGAGAAAAGCCAGTGCAAGGATGGATCCAACAAACAGAGGAAGAACACTCCTGACAGGCCACACTAGGCTGAACCCGAAGCCTGCCCCTCTCGAGGCTTCCATTGTGTGGACCCAATGAATTCCCAGTTACATGAGCCAGTAAAAACTAAGTGAAGTTTGATCTTCTATTACTTTTGGACAAACATATCTTACCAAAAAGGTGAGTTAATTTTAATCTTATTTCACTTTCAAAATATTTTAAAGTTAAAAAAAATTTTTTACAAGCAAGTATGTGATAAAATTCAAGCAGCAGAGAAGGACAGTCAAAGAAAATGACCATCTCATTTCAGACATCATCCACCTCTCCAGAGTCAACCACAGGGTAAGTTTCACATATGTACATGTATGTATCCTTGTTTCTACTCAAATAGAAGTACAACATACACATTGTTCTAACATCTTACTTTTTGTACTTTCTATATCTTGGAGATTATTTCAAGTCATACATATAGATTTATCTCATACTTTTTTTTTTCCATTGTTCAATCCCCAGGACCTTGTGTATGCTAAGCATGTGCTCTACCGCTGAGCTATACCCACCTCCTATCTCATCTTTTGTAAAGGTTGTATGGTATTCTATTTTATAGATGTACCACAATTCATTTAACCAATTCTAACTTTTTGCCACTATAAATAATGATGAAATGAACACCTTAAATTTAAATATTTGAGCAAAGATATGAGCATAAATCTGAGGATAAATTCCTAGAGTAGGCTAGCTGGGTCAAAAATTGTATACATTTTATATATTAACATTTATTGCCAAAATCAACAGAACCTTTTTAGAAGAGATTTTGGCGATAGCTGTTAAAATATAAAATGCATAGATTTTTTGACATAATAGCCAAATAGATTGTTTTTCCTTATACTCTACCAATTGATCAAAATTATACTGCATTTCAGATTGCTTACTCTTTGGACCACAACTTTATTTCAGTTTTTTTGTTGTTGTTTTTCTGAATTTTCTAATTGCCTTTTTTTTTCTCTTGAGAAAAAGAATGCATGCCTTCTTTACAATATCCAGATATCTCCCAACACCTTATTATTCTATCTATAGTATGGAATTTATTCCTTTCTTATTACAAACATTCTTTTTGTTCCCCACTGACTTCTTGTTCCAATTTGGAAAGACATTCCTAGGCCTGAAGTGCTAGCAGTCATTTGGGATGTCTGGTCATTAAATCCTGGGTTAGGTCCATGTTTTCTGTACTCCAGGTCATTTTCTTTCTAATTTCTCACTCTCTCATTTTTTTCTCAAATACATCGAGTAACTTCCTAAGAAAGGGAGTTTCTGCATCCTTAAATATCTTTGCAGTGGCCCCTCCCTCTCCATGGTTTTGGCATCCACCATTATGGAGGGCCAACTGTAAGGGACTTGAGCATCCAGGGATTTTGGTAGCAGCTGGGAGTGGAGGTAGGTGGGGCGGGCTTGCAATGAATTCCCTGAAAACCAAGGGATGACTTTATCTTGTTCAATTGCTTACTTGACAGTTTGACTCCAAGTTTTCAACCCCAGAAAATCTCTGAAGTTCTCCTGGATACGTTCATTCCTGCTCCCACTGCAGCCCCTTTTGATTATATCTGGGTTGTGGTTTCTTTCCCTTTGTTTTATCCATCACATGATTCCATCTCTTTCCTGACTTCCATAAAATTTTTAAACTCTTTCATCTGTTGGTGATTCTTTTCCTATTCTCTCCATTCATGTGATTTTTATTTCCTTTTTTTGATTTTTGTTCCTTTCTATCATTTTGATTGCATCCAGACCAAACACATGTGTACAGTTTGCCATTCGAGTAGGAAGCCTCTCCCTAGTCCTTATTTTCAGAGTTTCAGGAATTCACCTATTTTTCCATTGATGAGATCTAACCTCTTATATGATTATGTAAGTTTGACCTATGTAGGTGGAAATAAAATATCACCTTCCAGAAATATTAGTCACTTAGCACTTTAGGAAGGTTTTAAAGTATCACCATAGATGTGGTAGGAATTCACTTGTCTCTTTACCACCAAAGTATTTAAGAAAACAACTGAATGGGTATTCTTATTAAGCGTTGGTAACAGCCTGAACTTTTTGTAGCATTGATAGAGTATGACTCAGGATGGAGTCGTATTGTTCTGGAACTAAGTGGGTGTTAGGGGAATGAAATGATGCATTATTCATATTTTGTTATTATTAGCAATTTATTATAAATACATAACCTATAAGCAGTGGTGTGCTTGTAAATATTTAATTGTCAATTCTTCAGGGAGAAAAGTGTACGTATATTTATTATAAATTTTTATAACATAAAGGATGTGTAGCACACAATTTATAAACAATAATAAAATATATAATACTTTTATTGTAACTTCCACATAGCCAGTGGATTCTTACAGAATGCTTTTGCCAAACTTTTGCATCTGTAGCCAGCATGCGGTCTCAATTGAACTATGATTTGACAAATGGAGTTGCATCCTGATCTGCTAACTCTTTTCCTAATAAATCTGCTCTCATTAAATTTGACATATGTAGTCAATTTTTCATGACAGCTTTGCTTAACAGCCAGCCCAGGAACCAAATTCCTGAAAATGTAACAATCAGCTCTTGCAAATGGGCACAAGCGAACTCCAATACACCTATAAACCCCACTTCTAGCGATCAAAATGAGGACCCACTTATTTTTGTTATCCAAACAATGCTTCTCTGATATCAAGGGAAAAATCTTTCTTCTCTGTAATCTCCTCTCCGTAACCATTCCCCATCTCCCATCATACACAATATGTACTGCGTAGGGACTGGGCAGTTACCTTACTTAGTCCCTTACAGGAGAGAAAATTAGAAATTCAGCTGGGGGCATATTAGACTGGAGCCTGGCTGTTGCTGGTGTCACAGCCACATGGTGGCACTATTGAAGCACAGGTGTTGCAACTGCCTCAGTACCCCTCCACACATGACCCCCACCCCAGTTTGGTCCCAGTTATGCAAAGCTTTCCTGCCTACATCTCCTCTGAAAGCCTAGTATCTCTCTTCCCTTCCATACACAGTTCCTTTCAATGAAGGACATTCCATCAGTGCCTAAAAGTTATATAATAGGACCTTCTTGTTCCATCTGTCCCAGCAAATTCTACTTGTTGACCTCTGGTTTTTAGACCCTGTCATTCATGTGTTACTGGGAGCCAACCCGTTTCAGATGTACCTGTGATGCAGGTAAATCTTTGACTACTAGTCCAGGGCCTGGAGAATCTCAAACCCTTTTGATAATTTTTCTATCCTTACTTTTTGGTGTCTTTCTGTCATTCTTTGTTCACTGTATCTACATGGCCTGCTAGATTTGACCCACATTAGACCTCAGTGGAAAAACTCCATTCTTTATCATCTTCCATAAGAAATTAAACAAAACTCATCTTTTTTGTGTTTGGGCAACTTCATTGTAGTACTCCCAATTTCATATAAATATCCCAGGGAAGGGCTCTAATTGGCCCAGCTTGGGTCATGTACCTACCACTGGGCCAGTGTACAGTCAGAAGAGTGGATGACCAACCAGACCTATATCCCATACTGGTTTCTATGATGGGGGAAAGAGTACTCCAAAGGAAACTGGACCTGAACTGTACAGGGAAACTGTACCTGAAGATGAATGACACAGATGCCCAAAGAACAAAAGCAACAAACATCCGCTTCTGGTAGCGATTTGACCTTTCCTCCTGGCTAGATTTCCTTTTTTGGATGTTTTTCAATTCCTGGAGAAAAATAGGGAAAGTTAGGCTCTGTGGGAACAAATTGTAAAATGAAAACATATTTAACGTGAAGTAATGCTGAAGGATATCCTTTGAAGCATTCCTTTGAAATAGCAGCTCATCTATTATGAAGCTTAGATTTTTGGACAATTGGTGTTCTCAAAGAGGGGTGGAATTTTTGCATGCTTTCAGACCCTCTGACATGTGGTATTACTTTAAATTTTCATTTAATGTGATGTAATTTTGAACCTTCAGTGGAAATATTAAATCAGAAGCTGCCTTATGCTACTTAGGCAGAGGCAAAAAAAGGGTAAACAATCTCACTGCTTTTTACTCACCACTATTCTAGCTTTATGATTTTGTGTCTTAGAGGTTTTCTCATCTCTAAAAACTCCATATCAAAATATGAGAAATAGGCCTTGGAATGTAAACTATTCTGATAACAGGAAGCATTAACAAAATAGTTCTCTTTGTTCTACTGAGTTTCTGGAATGCCCAATGCTGTCTGAGCATCTCACCAAGAAGGCCGTCTTGTATCTTGAATCTTTGGACCACATATACTTCCATTCCCAAAAAGGTTTAGAGCAGACAGCTTCAAACTGGGTCTTCATACTCCTGGGGTACTTGAAGACTTTACCCAAACACATGTTGATTGGATGTTTTTAATGCAATCAATTCCCAGTTCTCAACTTTCACAGGCCCCTTTCCTGAGAGACCCCTCCACAGGCCTGCCAATCCCTCCTTTTTCACATTCACCCTTCTCCCAGCTCTCAGAAGACAGATATATTGCTCTCCCTCTCTGAATCTCATCTTGGTGCATTGCTCCAGGCTATGAAAATCTCAGAGGCAACTCAAAAGAAGATAATTAAACTTGTACTGCCCCTGAGGGGCCATCCGCCCTTCCCCACCCAAAAATAAAGCAAAGAAAGCCTCAGTAAAAAAATACTAAAGCCTTTTTCTATCTAGGCAACAAACTCTTGGGAAGTCTTCATGCCTTCTCTACCTCTCATCTATCTCTCTTGTATTGAATTAGGATTCAGAAGGATGTTATCTTAATCACTTAATTTTAAAATGATAGACAGGAAGTCTGATTTAGCTGACTGGTTTGACAATAAAGACTGGCTTCAAAAGGTTTCTATTCATTCAAGAAACTTATTTTGTAAACTAAATGATCTAAACCTATAGCTCCAAGGATTTGATAAAAACAAAGTTGAAGTATATATTCAAATTACAGTACACCAGGAAGGACATTCTTTGCAAAGATTCAACCTTCAGGTAAAACATTTTTAGATGTCAATGTAAAATGTTCAAGGAACCATATGTTTTTCAAAATTCTTTCAGGATTACATATGCAAAGAATTTTGAAGATCCCCATCTAAAGAGCCAGAAAACCACCTCAAGCAATTTAAACTCTTCATTAGGAAAACACAACTCTATTTATAACTTGCAGCTATAATTAACTATGAAAAATATCCAATTTCAAAGAAGGATCTAAAAGAACATAACATCTTAGTAAAAATTCGTACTTAACTAACATTTTTCTTTTGCTGACTTAATGTTTTCACTCTTGAGTCTAA